AGGGACCGAAGCTGTGTAAGGTGACAGTTTAGGGACCGAAGCTGTGTAAGGTGACAGTATGAGGACCGAAGCTGTGTAAGGTGACAGTTTAGGGACCGAAGCTGTGTAAGGTGACAGTATAGGGACCGAAGCTGTGTAAGGTGACAGTATAGGGACCGAAGCTGTGTAAGGTGACAGTTTAGGGACCGAAGCTGTGTAAGGTGACAGTTTAGGGACCGAAGCTGTGTAAGGTGACAGTATAGGGACCGAAGCTGTGTAAGGTGACAGTATGAGGACCGAAGCTGTGTAAGGTGACAGTATAGGGACCGAAGCTGTGTAAGGTGACAGTATAGGGACCGAAGCTGTGTAAGGTGACAGTTTAGGGACCGAAGCTGTGTAAGGTGACAGTTTAGGGACCGAAGCTGTGTAAGGTGACAGTATGAGGACCGAAGCTGTGTAAGGTGACAGTATGAGGACCGAAGCTGTGTAAGGTGACAGTATAGGGACCGAAGCTGTGTAAGGTGACAGTATGAGGACCGAAGCTGTGTAAGGTGACAGTTTAGGGACCGAAGCTGTGTAAGGTGACAGTATAGGGACCGAAGCTGTGTAAGGTGACAGTATGAGGACCGAAGCTGTGTAAGGTGACAGTTTAGGGACCGAAGCTGTGTAAGGTGACAGTTTAGGGACCGAAGCTGTGTAAGGTGACAGTTTAGGGACCGAAGCTGTGTAAGGTGACAGTATGAGGACCGAAGCTGTGTAAGGTGACAGTATGAGGACCGAAGCTGTGTAAGGTGACAGTTTAGGGACCGAAGCTGTGTAAGGTGACAGTTTAGGGACCGAAGCTGTGTAAGGTGACAGTTTAGGGACCGAAGCTGTGTAAGGTGACAGTATGAGGACCGAAGCTGTGTAAGGTGACAGTATGAGGACCGAAGCTGTGTAAGGTGACAGTTTAGGGACCGAAGCTGTGTAAGGTGACAGTTTAGGGACCGAAGCTGTGTAAGGTGACAGTTTAGGGACCGAAGCTGTGTAAGGTGACAGTATGAGGACCGAAGCTGTGTAAGGTGACAGTATGAGGACCGAAGCTGTGTAAGGTGACAGTTTAGGGACCGAAGCTGTGTAAGGTGACAGTTTAGGGACCGAAGCTGTGTAAGGTGACAGTTTAGGGACCGAAGCTGTGTAAGGTGACAGTATGAGGACCGAAGCTGTGTAAGGTGACAGTATGAGGACCGAAGCTGTGTAAGGTGACAGTTTAGGGACCGAAGCTGTGTAAGGTGACAGTTTAGGGACCGAAGCTGTGTAAGGTGACAGTATAGGGACCGAAGCTGTGTAAGGTGACAGTTTAGGGACCGAAGCTGTGTAAGGTGACAGTATAGGGACCGAAGCTGTGTAAGGTGACAGTATAGGGACCGAAGCTGTGTAAGGTTACAGTATAGGGACCGAAGCTGTGTAAGGTGACAGTATAGGGACCGAAGCTGTGTAAGGTGACAGTATAGGGACCGAAGCTGTGTAAGGTGACAGTTTAGGGACCGAAGCTGTGTAAGGTGACAGTATAGAGACCAAAACAGTGTGAGGTGACAGTTTAGGGACCAAAACAGTGTGAGGTGACAGTATAGAGACCAAAACAGTGTGAGGTGACAGTATAGAGACCAAAACAGTGTGAGGTGACAGTTTAGGGACCAAAACAGTGTGAGGTGACAGTATAGAGACCAAAACAGTGTAAGGTGACAGTTTAGGGACCAAAACAGTGTAAGGTGACAGTATAGAGACCAAAACAGTGTGAGGTGACAGTTTAGGGACCGAAGCTGTGTAAGGTGACAGTATAGAGACCAAAACAGTGTGAGGTGACAGTATAGAGACCAAAACAGTGTGAGGTGACAGTATAGAGACCAAAACAGTGTGAGGTGACAGTATAGAGACCAAAACAGTGTAAGGTGACAGTTTAGGGACCAAAACAGTGTAAGGTGACAGTTTAGGGACCAAAACAGTGTGAGGTGACAGTATAGGGACCAAAACAGTGTAAGGTGACAGTTTAGGGACCAAAACAGTGTGAGGTGACAGTTTAGGGACCGAAGCTGTGTAAGGTGACAGTATAGAGACCAAAACAGTGTGAGGTGACAGTATAGGGACCAAAACAGTGTAAGGTGACAGTTTAGGGACCAAAACAGTGTGAGGTGACAGTTTAGGGACCGAAGCTGTGTAAGGTGACAGTATAGAGACCAAAACAGTGTGAGGTGACAGTATAGGGACCAAAACAGTGTAAGGTGACAGTTTAGGGACCGAAGCTGTGTAAGGTGACAGTATAGGGACCGAAGCTGTGTAAGGTGACAGTATAGGGACCGAAGCTGTGTAAGGTTACAGTATAGGGACCGAAGCTGTGTAAGGTGACAGTATAGGGACCGAAGCTGTGTAAGGTGACAGTATAGGGACCGAAGCTGTGTAAGGTGACAGTTTAGGGACCGAAGCTGTGTAAGGTGACAGTATAGAGACCAAAACAGTGTGAGGTGACAGTTTAGGGACCAAAACAGTGTGAGGTGACAGTATAGAGACCAAAACAGTGTGAGGTGACAGTATAGAGACCAAAACAGTGTGAGGTGATAGTTTAGGGACCAAAACAGTGTGAGGTGACAGTATAGAGACCAAAACAGTGTAAGGTGACAGTTTAGGGACCAAAACAGTGTAAGGTGACAGTATAGAGACCAAAACAGTGTGAGGTGACAGTTTAGGGACCGAAGCTGTGTAAGGTGACAGTATAGAGACCAAAACAGTGTGAGGTGACAGTATAGAGACCAAAACAGTGTGAGGTGACAGTATAGAGACCAAAACAGTGTGAGGTGACAGTATAGAGACCAAAACAGTGTAAGGTGACAGTTTAGGGACCAAAACAGTGTAAGGTGACAGTTTAGGGACCAAAACAGTGTGAGGTGACAGTATAGGGACCAAAACAGTGTAAGGTGACAGTTTAGGGACCAAAACAGTGTGAGGTGACAGTTTAGGGACCGAAGCTGTGTAAGGTGACAGTATAGAGACCAAAACAGTGTGAGGTGACAGTATAGGGACCAAAACAGTGTAAGGTGACAGTTTAGGGACCAAAACAGTGTGAGGTGACAGTTTAGGGACCGAAGCTGTGTAAGGTGACAGTATAGAGACCAAAACAGTGTGAGGTGACAGTATAGGGACCAAAACAGTGTAAGGTGACAGTTTAGGGACCAAAACAGTGTGAGGTGACAGTTTAGGGACCGAAGCTGTGTAAGGTGACAGTATAGAGACCAAACAGTGTGAGGTGACAGTATAGAGACCAAAACAGTGTAAGGTGACAGTTTAGGGACCAAAACAGTGTAAGGTGACAGTATAGGGACCGAAGCTGTGTAAGGTGACAGTTTAGGGACCAAAACAGTGTGAGGTGACAGTATAGGGACCAAAACAGTGTAAGGTGACAGTACAGTACAAGGATCGAAACAGAATAAGGAGTCAGTATAAGGACAAAAACAATACAAGTAGAGTCAGTATAAGGACAAAAACAATACAAGTAGAGTCAGTATAAGGACAAAAACAATACAAGAAGAGTCAGTATAAGGACAAAAACAATACAAGAAGAGTCAGTATAAGGACAAAAACAATACAAGTAGAGTCAGTATAAGGACAAAAACAATACAAGTAGAGTCAGTATAAGGACAAAAACAATACAAGAAGAGTCAGTATAAGGACAAAAACAATACAAGTAGAGTCAGTATAAGGACAAAAACAATACAAGTAGAGTCAGTATAAGGACAAAAACAATACAAGTCAGTATAAGGACAAAAACAGTTTAAAAGCCATTTATTGTATTAGAAAGAGAGTAACCCTCCTCAAACAAACACACACGCGCACAAACACACACACAGGACAACAAACAACAAACCTAACCTAACCTAACCTAACCAACAAACAAGAAATCGGGGTTGCGGGCGACCCCCGTAAGCACAGCTAGGTGAGTACACGCACACTGTTGAGAGGCAGAACCAAAGTGCCAGAGCTCAACCCCCGTAAGCACATCTAGGTGAATAAAATCATAAATGGGACATAAGCCTAGATAGCTCAGTTGGGAGAGCGTTAGACTGAAGATCTAAAGGTCCCCGGTTCGATCCCGGGTCTGGGCAAGTGAATTTTGGAATATGCAGCAGTTGTATGGTGACCAAGTCTTAAGGAATATGCAGCAGTTGTATGGTGACCAAGTCTTAAGAAGCATATAAGGAAACTGAAAAAGGGGCAACAACATGCTACAAAATGGCTTCCCGGACAAAAAAAAGAGTTACGAGGAGAGACTAGAGGCGCTAAACTCTCTAAACTAGAAGATAGAAGAAAAAGAGGAGATATGATCATTTACAACATACCAAAAAGGAGTCGACCAAATTGACAAAGAGGAATTCCTGAAGCCAGCAACTTCACGAACAAAAGGACACAGATTCAAGCTAAAGAAATAAAGGTGCCGACAAAAATATTATAAAGTTTCTTTTTCGCAAACAGAGTGGTAGACGGTTGGAACAAGTTAAGGGAGAAGGTGGTGGAGGCCAAACCCGTCAGTAGTTTCAAAGTGTTATACGACAAAGAGTGCTGGGCAATATTTAAAAAATTTTAAGTACTGGGAACTCTTAGTGCCTTATATGTTCTCTGTATTCCCTCTATTTCAGCAATCTCTCCTGCTCTGAAGGGGGAGTGAGTACCGAGCAGTACTCAAGACGGGACAACACCAGTGATTTAAATAGTACATTAACATTGCGGTGGGATTCCTGGATTCCCCCACACTCATAATCCGTCCTATCATTTTACTCACCGACGCCATATTTCTTTCCTTAACTGTCAGACACACTACGTGGATATAAAGATTCCAACTACCTGGTCACTAGGAGACTCGAACCACCTACCCCTCGAGTGAGAGACGGAAGCTCTATCCACCATGTAATAGTCTTAATAAGGAAAGATTCTAAAATCAACAAACTGCAGGAATTCTCCCAGAGGGAGAGAGGGAGAGAGAGAGAGCTCACCTGACGTGGTGGAGGAGAGTGAAGATGACGAGGAGGGCAGCCGGGTGTCTGGGCGAGCTGACCTCTACCCACACACACATGCTGACCTGCCGTCCCTGGCCGGCACTCCTCTCCGTCCCTGGCCGACACTTTGGCCCGGCTCCCACAACACCACCTCCAATAGGTTAGTGGCGGCCTTTAATTAGTCCGGGATACAGATGCAGTCACAACCATCCTTGTTGGTACCTGTTCTCTCAGGCTGTTGGTGCTTGCTTGTAGTATCACTCACGAGGTGTCACTCTGGTCAGGGCCGACCCACTAAAAAAAACACGGATTCTTTGTGTGTGTGTGTGTGTGTGTGTGTGTGTGTGTGTGTGTGTGTGTGTGTGTGTGTGTGTGTGTGTGTGTGTGTCTGTCTGTCACTTGCAGGTTATAGGAGAGCGTGCAGGAGTGAGAGGACACGCGGGATGAGAGCAGTGTGCGCCAGGGAGAGTGAGGAGAGAGTGAGAGCCACGGGTGGCTTCGCCCAACACCGCCACCCATCTCACTCCAGTGACGACGGCGCCCTATTTTCCTCCCTACCTCCCTAAACCCTTCCCTCCCTACCTCCCTACACCCTTCCCTCCCTACCTCTCTACACCCTTCCCTCCCTACCTCCCTACACCCTTCCCTCCCTACCTCCTTATACTACCTTCAAGGTTGCTCTAATGTTCAGTGCCCCAAGTTTGCTCTACAGTTTAATGTTTTAAGGTTTCTCAAGTGTTCATGCATTCGAAACTTGCTAAAGTGTTTAATGTTACAAGGTTGCTCCAATATATATACATGTTCCAGCACAACCATTGACTATATACACACACTGGAGCAAACTTTGGCTATATACTCCCCATATAATAACGTTGGAACATTATTATAATATCTGCATTTTTCTATACTTGGTTGGCATGAATACATGTAATTAAATAATATATATAAAGCATACATACGTAAATGCAAGTACTATTCTTCAGAGAACATGTTTTAAAGATTTATGACCATGCGTTGTGAGGCTTTATGTTGGCGTACAATATACCAAGCGAGCAACCACAATTTTCTCAACATCTAGCGTGTTAAATTAATAATAATTTAACCGGGGCCAGATTGACGAAGCAGTTACGTACGTACTTACAAACGTTTTCCTTCTTAACATCTTCGTAGCGGCTACGTCGGTATTCAGGTATATAGGCATCTAAGTATGAATATCTTCGTAAGTATACACCGTCGCGCTAAGGACGCTCTCTACCACTCGAAGCTTTACCTAAACTGGATATAACTATTTTTCTCTACTACACAACACGGAGGATCCATTTTATTATAAACAGACATTTTAGCTGGCGAGTCTCATCAAGAAGGAGTCCTTCGTGTTAGGTATATATGCATTCTCTGCTTGAAACTTTTAGTAAATGTCTTTTATGATATTAGAATTAGTTTTAGAATAGCAAGTAAGTAAGTAATTATCAAAAGAAGACACCAAACCGGGAAGGCTAAACACCATCAAATGAATAATCAAGGGCGCTAAGTATATCAAAAGTATCGAGTCACCAAGAATTCTATTGAGGGACAGGTGATCGCGAGGGGCGGTCGGAAAGCAAGACACACGCTTGTCCTGGAAGTCAGGACATTCAAGAAGGATATGCACAACTGTAAGAGGGACAATGCAATTAGGACAATAAGGAGCAGGGCGGCGCTCCATCAAGTGACCATGGGTTAAGCGAGTATGGCAAATACGCAACCTCACCAGAGCCGTTTACCATCGCCGGTTACGGTGGTAGGAGGACGGCCACGAGGAAACACAACATTTAAAAGTACGTAGTTTGTTACCAGTAACAGACGACCAAGAAGCCTTCCAACGGATAAGGATGGAGGAATGGATAACCGGGAAAAAGTCGGAATATGGAATACCTTTACGAGAGATGGGACAAGAGCGGACAGCTTCCTTGGCGGCAGCATCTGCACGCTCATTTAAAGAGACACCAATATGGTTGGGAACCCAACAAAACTCTCCCGACTTAAATTTAATGTGAACAAGAAACAGCCAATGTTGGATCTCGACAATCACTGGACGAACCGGATTAAAGGACCCGAGAGCCATGAGGGCACTACGAGAGTGAACAACAACTACAAAGGAAGACTGACAACGAGAAAGCAGATGAAGAGCATAGAGAATAGCATAAAGCACCGCTGTGAAGATGCTAGTCTCCGGAGGTAAGCGACACATATAAATGCGATCAGGAAAAACAACAGAGTAGACAACACCAACTGCAGACTTAGACCCATCGGTGAAGACAGAAACGGAGCGGGAGTGAAAAGAAAAGTGCTAAAGGAAAAGGCGTTTTAGAACCATAGGAGGGGTAAAAGCTTTAGTGATGCGGGTCAAGGATGTACAAAACTACGGAAGGGGGACTCTCCACGGGGGCAAAGAAGGAACAACACGAGGAGAGACATTAGAAATACGAACGGAAAGAGAATCCTGTAAGCGAGATAACCGGACAGAAAGAGGGAGATGGTGAAGAGGAACAGGAACCGCAGGAGGGGTAAAAGTTAAAGCACGACAGAGGCGAGAGGAAGGATGTTGTAAGGACCGCGCAAGATAGCGAAGACAGCGAAGACAGTAGCGATCACAGCGGTCCTGGAGAGGCAGGAAGCCAGTGTCAACATACAAGCTAAGGACGGGAGTCAACGAAAGGCACCAGAGCTGAGGCGCAACCCAGTATGGTGCAAAGCATCAAGACGGTGAAGAGTAGAAGGAGAAGCAGACGAGTAAGCAGGGCAACCATAATCGAGCTTAGACAGGACGAGAGAGGAATGCAAAGCAAGGAGAGTGCGCCTATCCACTCCCCAAGAAGTATGGGACAATACCCAAAGGAGGGTAAGGGCCTTAGAGCACTCAACACGGAGGTAAGAGATATGGGGAGACCAAGACAAACGAGTGTCAAGGAATAACCCCAAAAGCTTTGCAGAATCTTTGTACTCAAGGGGATGACCATAGTGTGACAAAGAGGGACGAAGAACGACCCGTTTCCGAGTAAAAGTCATGGCACAAGTCTTAGGAGTAGAGAACTTGAAGCCATGATCAGTGGCCCAAGACGACACGGCATCAATCGCAAGTTGAAGCCGGCATTGATGGAGAGGCGAATCATCACCCTGACAGCAAAGGGTAAGATCATCGACATAGAGAGCGGAGAAGACACCGGAAGGAAGAGAGGAAAGAAGACCATTGAGGGCAACCAGAAAAAGAGTAGTGCTCAGAACACTACCTTGGGGCACACCTTCGTATTGCCGAAAAGAGGCAGAGAGAGCGGTACCAAGCCTCACCCGAAAGGAACGACGAGAGAGGAAGCTGCTGAGAAAGAGAGGGAGATGACCATGAAGGCCAAAAGAATGAAGCTGGGATAGAATATGATATCGCCAAGTGGTGTCATAAGCCTTTTCCAGGTCAAAAAGGACAGCAACAACGGAGGTCTTCGCAGCAAAAGCAGTACGAATATAGACCTCCAAGTTCACCAGGACATCTGTCGTGCTACGGCACTTGCAGACGAACGTTAACCATACGTTTAAAGAGTTTGCAGACACAACTTGTTAGGGTAATAGGGCGAAAGTCCTTAGGGGATGTTCCTAGAGACCCTGGTTTGCAAACAGGGAGGACAATGGCATCGGGCCAGTCCTCAGGGACTGACGACGACTCCCAGATCCGATTATACAGACTCAGTAAATACTGAGACGTTTCTTCTGTTAGACCAGAGCTAACAGAAGAAAAGTGGGAACCCAGTTCGGTAGCAACCTGCAACGGGTCCGCCACAAGAGTACCATGGAGGTGAAGGACCGGTGAAACATCGGGAACGAACTTACCCGCTATCTTGCGGATATGCTTCCAGATCTGTGGCAGAGAAGTTTCGGACGAAATGGTGGAGACATAAGATGCCCAACATTCACGTTTAGCCGTACGGATGGCCCTACGGGCCACCGCACTCGCCTTCCGAAAGAAAAGAAAAGAATCGGCAGTCCGCCGACGGCGGTGTCTCTCCCAGGCTGCACACTTACAGCGGTCAGCCCGAGCACAGTCTGCATTCTACCAGGGAACACACTTCCGTGAACCCCGGAAGGAAGAGCGAGGAATAGAGCGGAGGGCAGCGTCAAAGACAGTGTCATGAAAAAGGAGGAGAGAGCGAGAGAGAGGCAGAAGGGAGGGGTCAGAGAGAGAGCAGCACTGAGGGTAAAGAGGTTCCAGTCCACTTTCGCAAACTGCCACCTAGGGAAGGAGAGGGGAGGGCGAAAAGATAAAAAGGTAACAAGGATGGGGAAATGGTCACTGCCATGGAGGTCATCAAGAACCTACCACGTGAAACCTAAGTAAAGAGAAGACGAGCAAAGAGAAAGATCAAGACAGGAAAGGGTGCGAGCCTGAGAGTCCAAATGCGTGGGCTCACCAGAATTCAGAAGAGACAGGGAAGAAGAGAGGATAAACGGCTCAAGAAGGCAACCTCGGGTATTCGTCAGAACATCACCCCAAAGGAAATGACGACAATTGAAATCACCCAGCAGGAGCACAGGCTCTGGCAAGGAGTCCAGTAAGTGTTTCAGATCAGGAAGAGGAAAGCGGGACACTCGGGAATAGATAAATGGAACAAACAGAGTAGCATTTCCCCACAAAGATACGAGCAGCAGAACAATGGAGAGGCGAAGGAAAAAGTAAGGGGACAAAGGGAACATCAGAGCGAATCAAGAGAGCAGAAGAATTAGAAGCCCCAGCAACAGCTGGGGGGAGAGAAAGGAATAGCCACGAAAGCGACCAGGACGAGCACCAAGCATCGGCTCCTGGAGACAGACACAAAGGGGCGAAAACCGCGAAATCAGAAGTTGGAGTTCGAGGAAATTGGCGTAATAACCTCGAACGTTCCATTGAAGAATGGACAACGACGAGAAGAGAAAGGACAACAACAGAGAACAAGGAAGAAACAAAGGCGAAAGAGCAACATAGCACGTTAAAGAAGATCAGGGTCGGGATCAGGGTCAGCAAAGTCAGAGTTAGGAGGCATGGGTAAACTGAGCAAAGACAGAGGGAAGGAAACGGGAGAACAGATCAGAGGTGGGCGGGTGGGGTCCGGAGGAGGAAGAGGAGGAGACAACGGAGAGGAGCAGTCAAGGACAGCAGCAAGAAGAGGGGGGGGGAAAAGAGGGGAGCGAACCTCAGCAAGGGCAGCAACCGAGAGGGAAGCGGGGCTAAAGAAACCTCCATAGCAGGAACAGGGGGCGCAACCACCAAAACAGGAGGGGAAGGAGCAAGAGAGTAGTAGGTGCCGAGGAAGAAAGCGAAGCCTTCTTACCCGCCGGAGAGGAGGAAGGAGATGAGCCAGGCTTACGCTTCTGACTTAAAGAGACCAGTGTCCGAGCAACTACGTACTGGGCAACGGATTCCTGCATCTCAACAGGAGAAGCTGAACGAGAGCACACACGACGACCGTTAGGAGAGCGATGGACATCAGCCCGCACCGACAGGCGGCGGGGAGAGTCAATAGATGGAGGAGAAGGATGGGAGGATGGGAAGGAGGATCGGAGGGAGACGAAGAAGAAGACACAGGAGACATGACAGACCGGGTAGAAAGAAGAGGAGCCCCAGACAGAGGACCAGGAGGGGGACCCTTCGGGGCAGAACTAAGGAACAGAGGAGGGGGCAGTGGGCGCATCAGGGTCCAAGGCCCAGAAACGGTTGTGGGTTTGAGGAAGGTGGGAAGGACGAGGAGAGGAAGAGCGCAACACGCAAGCATAAGAGACTTTAGCATAAGGCGGGAGCCGGCGAACCTGGCGCCTCGCCTCAGGAAAAGATAAACGCTCCCGGTGCTTCAGGTTGAGGACGGCTGCCTCAAGCTTGTAATGGACACATGCACGGGAGAAGGTAGGATGGGCCTCACCGCAGTTGAGGCAGCGAGCCTGGGGAGAAGTGCACTCGTCTTAGAGTGACCTTCGCCCCCACACAAAGGACAGAGAAACAGTCCCAGAGCAGCGGAGGGCACCATGCCCAAACCTCCAGCACTTGTTACAGAGCCTAGGAGAAGGAATGTACTCCTGGACAGAGCACTTGGCACCAGCAAGAATGACAGAGGGTGGAAGGGTCCTACCATCAAAGGTAATCTTCACAACCCAAAGGGGTTGACGGCGACGACCACGAGGGGGACGAGTAAACGAGTCTACCTGGAGGACAGAATGGCCTTGGGCATCAAGGATATGCCGAATATCATCGTGGCAGTCCAGCAGATTCCGAACACCGGTCGCAACATGAGGCGGGAGGAGAATAGTGCCAACACTGGAATTCAACTGAGCGTTCTTCGAGACCCGAACAGGGGTCTCGCCAAGGCAGGATAAGGCAGCCAAGCGGGAAGCAGCATCCTGAGAAGGAGCAGCAATGGTACATGTACCGAGACGAGTGGGGTTGAAGGTAACTGAGGCATCCACGAAATCAACAAGAAATCGATGAAGGGAGAAATCATCAGGAGGCGCAGAATCAAGAGGGAGATGAAAGTATTTGGCCCACGAAGCGGGACCAAACAAGACTTGATAGGCATCAGAACGGGAAGGAATCGAGCGAGTGCAGCCGTGTCGAGGACGGCAGTGAGAACCCCCAGAGAGAGAGAGAGGTTAAAAGGCGCAGTAGTTACAACTAGAGAAGGAGCCGTGCCAGAGGACGAGGTAATCACCACTGGGGGCTTGGGGCTCGACCCAACCACAGAGGAGGGATGGGAGCCGAGGGGAGTAGTCAGAGAGACCAAAGGAGGAGCAAGGTTGGGGCCCAATACAGCGGAGGCTACAGAGCCCGGTCTTCCAACACGGACCGACTTGGGGGCTTGGTCGCCGACCCCATGAGCCTGAGAAGGTAAAAGAGGAACAGAATGCAACATAGGTACGAAAAAGAAACATTCATTCACGAATGCGCCCCCACACCCACCATGGAGCCACAATTAGAGGCAGGACACCCAACAAGAAGCTATCGCTAATCTTGCCGGGGCCTCCTAGGGGTGCGTCGTGAGTATACGCCCCACAAACACCAGCTTAAGAACCGTCAGTTCGTCGAGATCGGGTTCAGCGACGAAAGGGGGATTGACAATAAAAGGTTCCTCTCGCTCGCGACGTTGGATACTACAGTTCTACGGGTGCAAGAGTATGCCTCCTCAAGCACCCGGGCGTCAAAATAGAAGAAGTCCAAAGGAATAACCAAAACAAACAAGAGGTCGGCAGGAAACGACAAGCAGATAGGAGAAGAGGGGGAGAAAAGGAAAAGGAAAAGTTGTTCAGCACAATTAGAGAGGACGGCAGCAGGAGCACAAGGCTACAAAAGGACAGAGGACTGTCCCAAGGAGCATCACACTCCGGCAGCCGCCCACAACGCCCCCCTCACGGCATCAACGAGCTGAACGGGGAGGGGGGGGGGGGATGCAGTGAGGTGAGGCAGCTACTTATTTGAGGAATGCTTATTTTATTTACCTAATAAGCTGAGGCAGCTTATTTTATTTGAGGTATGCTCAGCTGATTCCTCTACATTTAGCATGGAACAAATTTGTGTCCAAGACCTCTTCCTGTTACACAATTTGGCTGTGTGTAACATTAAGTAAGTAATTATCAAAAGAAGGCACCAAGCCGGGAAGGCTGTGTAGCACCATTGCCTGTAACAATAAACCAAATTTTTTAACAGATAATGCACCTGTGAGTAAAACAAATCCTGTCAGTTGTAAAAATATTGATCCAATTATTTAAATAAAAAATATAATACAACAAATATTTATGGGTTGTTTAAACTATCATTTATGTTGTATATCCAAAGAAGTGAAAAATTGAGACATACTGCACAATTTAATGATTCAAAAGAAATACAGTATTAATAACATTGTCGTCGTCTTTTCATCTTCTAGTGTGTGGTTTGGTCAACATTACTAACATTACATAGCAATATGAGATCTTAATGATCCATGATTAACATTTATGATTTAATAAGGATAATACTAGTAATAATAAACATTAGCCTCCACTAGCATAATCTGGGTACAGCACAAGAATATCTTCCAATAATCCTGAGTGTATGAAGTAATTACAGAGCTCAAAGTATCTCATACCATTTGGTATGAAGTCACTGATAACAGGGCAATCGCAGATACTGTATAGTGTTGGAGAGTATGTCCTCTCAAGTAGGACTGAAAACATGTTTTTTCCACCCAGATGGTTATAAACCCATGGAACCGCCTACCCGCTGAAGCTGTAAATGCCAAAATCCAGCTAGAAAATATCATTAGGGCAATTGGCGGGACCTTTAACAAGCCGCCGGCTTTCTGTCCTCGTCGAGGTCACTAGATAGTTAGTGGCCCTTGGGTAAATTTAGGTAAATATATACGCAAACAAATACCAACGCCTCTCAAATCTTGGGAGCGACAAGGAAAGCCTCACAATCTCTCTTAGAATCACGTAAGTAAACCAAAAATATACCATTTGTTTACAACAATGTCGGTGCTGACTGTAGAAGTTGAAAAAACAGTTGTACTTCAAAATATACTAATTTTATTAGAAAATTAGACGTAAATAGGTGGCAAGTGAACACGGATAAGCTCCGATATGCCGGCGTCGTGATTGGCTACAGTTGTAAGATGAAAAATGTTACCTTCTTTCTGATTGGCCAAACGAAAAGCCCTAGTGACATCTGGCGAGACTTAAGTGAAGTTGCTAAAATCTTCATAAGTACATCCTTCTGAATTGGATGTAGGAACATTCTAAGACAACACTTAAGAACCTTCGTAGCACACTTACTTACGAAGAAACACATGGAGCTTCGTGAATCTAGGTCCCGGTCTTCACAAAGAGCTTCAGAATAATTCACAATAATATGCTTGCTGGGTTGCAGGTGTTTAGGTGATGGCGGCGGTCTGGCTCAAGATGTTCCTATAACATTAAATTATCAGATCTCAATGTGTACAGCGATATGTTGTGTTATATTTCGATGTACCTTGACCTTGATATATTGATGACCTTGACTCGCGAAGCGCCGTGTATTTTTCCTTGACTCACGAAGCGTCGTGTATATTTTCTTGCGTGTGTTACGATGGTTCTTAAGAACACCAGCAGAACACGGCCGTACGCTCGTCCCACCGCGGCGGTGTTCTTGTCGAGCTGCTCGGGGGCGTCTGGCTCAGGCTCGCCTCCTCCACCACTCAGGTCACCTCTGCTTTTCCTTTGACGAATCAGACTGACGGTAACATTGTACATCTTATCTTTTAGCCAATCACGTTGCCGACCCAGCTGGACAATTGACCAATCACGTACGTTTCATATATCAGCTGATGTGTGTCAACAAAATAAGATCAGGCATTGACGGAGAGGGTTATACCCCACCTCTCGGTCTACCCGTTATATTGATCATTTATTTTAGTCCTACATTATGTTCAGGAATAAAGTATACTTGTTGGTCGGTCAGTAACCTCCAGTGGAGGCCTCTTGTAACTCTCCAGTGATTTGAATATTGTTGAGGAGCGAGAATCTCGCCCAGACAAATGGTAGTATGAAGCTGACACACACTATAATGTCTACCCCCATATATCGCTGTAAAAGAAGAGTGTACATACACTAAGCGTTTACTTTAAGCTTGGAGTATGCTGAGGACTAAAGTACACTTGCTAGTGTTTTAAGAATGCCCTAAATAAACTAACAATGCTTGAAATAGCGGACATGTATTGGCAAATAAAACAAAATAGTGAGATACTGTACATGAAATTAGAAAGATGAAATTTCTATATACATAGTAAATATAGCAATTACTATTGCCAAGGACTCAGCTAAGGGTATTCTTGCTATATGACCGTTATTTATAGATGAAACTGTAACAGTATAGGATATAACCTGTTAGGTTAACAATAATATAAACTGAATGTTTTTTTAATTAACAAAATTATGTATACACAGCATTGTGCTGTTACCCTATTCTATATGATATATTACACAGTGTAGATCAAAAACTAGCTATAGGTTCAACTAACATTCCCAGCTCACAGGATGATTAGTCACAGGTAAGTGTTGACCACATCAACATCTGTACCTCTTTTACATATATTCTGGCATACACGAAGTTGTTTGAGAATATAGTAATTTTTGTTTTGATTTGAATACTTTCCAAGTAGTATATGAGTAAACGATTACAAGGTATAAACATTATTTGAATGTCAGAACTTAGGTTAGGCTTTTATCCTAATTGGAATTCATTGGCTTAATCTTTCCTTCTGACCCCAGCCCTTACCTTCTGACCCCAACCCTTTCCTTCTGACCCCAGCCCTTTCCTTCTGACCCCAACCCTTTCCTTCTGACCCCAACCCTTTCCTTCTGACCCCAACCTTTCCCTTCTGACCCCAACCCTTCCCTTCTGACCCCAGCCCTTTCCTTCTGACCCCAACCCTTTCCTTCTGACCCCAGCCCTTCCCTTCTAACCCCAACCCTTTCCTTCTAACCCCAACCCTTTCCTTCTGACCCCAACCCATTCCTCCTGACCCCAGCCATTTCTTTCTAACCCCAACCCTTTCCTTCTGACCCCCAACCCTTTCCTTCTGACCCCAACCCTTTCCTCCTGACCCCAACCCTTTCATTCTGACCCCAACTCTTTCCTCCTGACCCCAACCCTTTCATTCTGACCCCAACCCTTTCCTTCTGACCCCAAGCCTTTCCTTCTGACCCCCAACCCTTTCCTTCTGACCCCAACCCTTTCCTCCTGACCCCAACCCTTTCATTCTGACCCCAACTCTTTCCTCCTGACCTTAATCCTTTCCTTCTGACCCCAACCCTTTCCTCCTGACCCCAACCCTTTCCTTCTGACCCCCAACCCTTTCCTCCTGACCCCAGCCCTTTCCTTCTAACCCCACCCCTTTCCTTCTGACCCCAACCCTTTCCTCCTGACCCCAGCCCTTTCCTTCTAACCCCAACCCTTTCCTTCTGACCCCAACCCTTTCCTTCTGACCCCAACCCTTTCATTCTGACCCCAACCCTTTCCTTCTGACCCCAACCCTTTCCTTCTGACCCCCAACCCTTTCCTTCTGACCCCAACCCTTTCCTTCTGACCCCAACCCTTTCCTTCTGACCCCCAGCCCTTTCCTTCTGACCCCAACCCTTTCCTTCTGACCCCAACCCTTTCCTTCTAACCCCAACCCTTTCCTTCTAACCCCAACCCTTTCCTTCTGACCCCAGCCCTTTCCTTCTGACCCCAACCCTTTCCTTCTGACCCCAACCCTTTCCTTCTGACCCCAACCCTTTCCTTCTAACCCCAACCCTTTCCTTCTGACCCCAGCCCTTTCCTTCTGACCCCCAACCCTTTCCTTCTGACCCCAACCCTTTCCTTCTGACCCCAACCCTTTCCTTCTAACCCCAACCCTTTCCTTCTGACCCCAACCCTTTCCTTCTAACCCCAACCCTTTCCTTCTAACCCCAACCCTTTCCTTCTAACCCCAACCCTTTCCTTCTGACCCCCAGCCCTTTCCTTCTGACCCCAACCCTTTCCTTCTGACCCCAACCCTTTCCTTCTGACCCCAACCCTTTCCTTCTGACCCCAACCCTTTCCTTCTGACCCCACCCCTTTCCTTCTGACCCCAACCCTTTCCTCCTGACCCCAACCCTTTCCTTCTGACCCCAACCCTTCCCTCCTGACCCAAACCCTTCCCTCCTGACCCCAACCCTTTCCTTCTGACCCCAACCCTTTCCTTCTGACCCCAACTTTTTCCTTCTGACCCCAACCCTTTCCTTCTGACCCCAACCCTTTCCTTCTGACCCCAACCTTTTCCTTCTGACCCAAGCCGTTTCCTTCTGACCCCAACCCTTTCCTTCTGACCCCCAACTCTTTCCTTCTGACCCCAACCCTTCCCTCCTGACCCCAACCCTTTCCTTCTGATCCCAACCCTTCCCTCCTGACCCCAACCCTTTCCTTCTGATCCCAACCCTTTCCTTCTGACCCCCAGCCCTTTCCTTCTGACCCCCAGCCCTTTCCTTCTGACCCCAACCCTTTCCTTCTGACCCCAACCCTTTCCTTCTGACCTTCTGACCCCAGCCCTTTCCTTCTGACCCCAGCCCTTTCCTTCTGACCCCAACCCTTTCCTTCTGACCCCAACCCTTCCCTTCTGACCCCAACCCTTTCCTTCTGACCCCAACCCTTTCCTTCTGACCCCAGCCCTTTCCTTCTGACCCCAGCCCTTTCCTTCTGACCCCAACCCTTTCCTTCTGACCCCAGCCCTTTCCTTCTGACCCCAACCCTTTCCTTCTGACCCCCATCCCTTTCCTTCTGACCCCAACCCTTTCCTTCTGACCCCAGCCCTTTCCTTCTGACCCCAGCCCTTTCCTTCTGACCCCAGCCCTTTCCTTCTGACCCCAACCCTTCCCTTCTGACCCCAACCCTTTCCTTCTGACCCCAACCCTTTCCTTCTGACCCCAGCCCTTTCCTTCTGACCCCAACACTTTCCTTCTCACCCCAACCCTTTCCTTCTGACCCCAACCCTTCCCTTCTGACCCCAGCCCTTTCCTTCTGACCCCAACCCTTTCCTTCTGACCCCAACCCTTTCCTTCTGACCCCAACCCTTTCCTTCTGACCCCAACCCTTTCCTTCTGACCCCAACCCTTTCCTTCTGACCCCAACCCTTTCCTTCTGACCCCAACCCTTTCCTTCTGACCCCAACCCTTTCCTTCTGACCCCAACATTTTCCTTGTGACCCCAGCCGTCTCCTTTTGACCCCAACCCTTTCCTTCTGACCCCCAACTCTTTCCTTCTGACCCCAACCCTTTCCTTCTGACCCCAACCCTTTCCTTCTGACCCCAACCCTTTCCTCCTGACCCCAACCCTTTCCTTCTGACCCCAGCCCTTCCCTCCTGACCCCAACTTTCTACGTGTGACCCCAACCCTTTCCTTCTGACCCCAACCCTTTCCTTCTGACCCAACCCTTCCTTCTGACCCCAACCATTTCCTTCTGACCCCAACCCTTTCCTTCTAACCCCAACCCTTTCCTTCTGTCCCCAACCCTTCCTTCTGACCCCAACCCTTTCTTCTGACCCCAACCCTTTCCTTCTGACCCCAGCCCTTTCCTTCTGACCCCAACCCTTTCCTTCTGACCCCAACCCTTTCCTTCTGACCCCAACCCTTTCCTTCTGACCCCAGCCCTTTCCTTCTGACCCCAACCCTTTCCTCCTGAAAAACCCTCCTGACCCCAACCCTTCCCTCCTGACCCCAACCTTCTACGTGTGACCCCATTAAGGCTGCCCTTATCCCCACCACCAGACCGAGGCCCCTCTCCCTCCCTCTCACTGGTCACTTCATCACTCACGTCACTCATGACACTCAGCCTTTCCACCTAAAGCAGATTTTTCTGTCTCTCTTTCTCTCTCTCTCTCTCTCTCTCTCTCTCTCTCTCTCTCTCTCTCTCTCTCTCTCTCTCTCTCTCTCTCTCTCTCTCTCTCTCTCTCTCTCTCTCTCTCTCTCTCTCTCTCTCTCTCTCTCTCTCTCTCTCTCTCTCTCTCTCTCTCTCTCTCTCTCTCTCTCTCTCTCTCTCTCTCTCTCTCTCTCTCTCTCTCTCTCTCTCTCTCTCTCACAGACACGTTAAATGAAATAGAGGAGATATGATCACCACTTACAAAATACTAAGAGGAATCGACCAAATTGACAAAGAGAAATTCCTAAAACCAGCAACTTCACAAACAAGAGGACACAGATTTATGCTAAGGAAACAAAGGTGTCGATAAACTATTAGAAAGTTTTATTTGGCAAACAGAGTGGGAGACGGTTGGGCAAATTAAGGGAGAAAGTGGTGGAGGCCAAAACCGTCAGTAGTGTCAAAGCGTTATATGACAAAGAGTGTTGGGAAGACGGGACACCACGAGCGTTGCTCTCATCCTGTAACTACACTTAGGTAGTTACACACACACACACCTGTGGACGCCACACCACCACACTGCCACCACACCACCACACTGACGCCACACCACCACACTGACACCACACCACCACACTGACGCCACACCACCACACTGACGCCACACACCACCACACTGACGCCACACCACCACACTGACGCCACACCACCACACTGACGCCACACCGCCACACTGACGCCACACTACCACACTGACGCCACACTGACGCCACACCGCCACACTGACGCCACACCACCACACTGACGCCACACTGACGCCACACCGCCAC